TTAAATGATGGCTAACAGATGTCACCATGTAAGTCTACATGTAAATTGTTGAGTTTATCCACTGGTTTATAAATCTGGCTACTCATCAGAATCACAAGAACATGTTGTTAAAAATACAAATACTCAGGCTCTACCTGAAACCTACTGAATATAATAAATAGGACTCAAGGAAAATATACTCTCCAAATATCTGTTGGGAGACTCTGATACAGTCAGTTTTGAGAACTACTGCTTTCATTAGTGATATATTCAGTAAAGGTTTTGCCTTCACGAACTTTAGAGAAGTTCAGCCAGTGTGTGGACTCAAAACCAAATGTCTACCTCCAGGCTGATATTTATTTTATTATTAATAAGACAGGAAGGTAGGAAATCCAAAAGAAAATGTCAAGCTTAGTATAGTATAAAAATTGAAAAAAAAATGGGTACATTATTGGCTACTCTCCAGTTTGTCACTAATTAGCTGCTATGATTTGAATGTATGTATCCCTCCAAAATTCCCACTTTTGGCCAATGGGATGGTTTAGTGGGTAAAGGTGCTTGCTATACAAGCCTGATGAATTGAGTTCAATCCCTGGAACCTAATAAAGGTAGAAAGAGAGAACGGATGGCCCGAGATTTGTCCTCTGACCATCACATGTTGTAGCAAGCATAAGCCCTCCCACGAATAATAAACAAAAATCAATTTTTTCCATGTTAGAATTTAATCCCCAAGGTGATAATATTAAGAGGTTACAGAAAGTGATTAAGTCATGAGGGCTCTGTGTAGCTTAAGTATTCTATGGTTACCTCTTTACAGAAAAATTTATGGTTACCTACCTATCTTACAGAAAAACCCTACCTCTTAATCACATAAAATAAACACAAATGTGTAAAATTAAATTAATATATGCACATATACACATGGAGAAGGACTTAACCAAGGAGGACACAGGAATCTATTTAAAAAGTTGGTTTGTTGAGGTTGAGAATTTTTGTGAAATATTACGCTTCTCTTGATGCTATACTGTACTGTTAGTACAACAAATGGAATGTAAAGTAAACCTTCATTGATTTTAAATTCTTTACCTTATTTCTTTATGTAGCTTAGCAAGTCGATCAGCTTTCCGGGCAAGTATGAAGCTGGAGAGAGAAGCCACATTTGAATGATATTTTATAGTCATTTATCTCATACATTACCAAGTACTTATTTGGCATTAATGGACTCTCCTAACCTTCCCCTTCCACTAGAGTAAATGCTACACTATCTTCAGGCTCTGTCTGTATCCAAAACTACTAGGCTATGAGTTCCTAAGTAACAGGTCATCTCTTGCTCAATATTTTACTTATAAAATTTTACTCAGTATTTGATATAATAGGAAATCAGATGTTGAACAAACTAATGTTGCACTACACAATTATCCTGACAACGACAAGATAGGACAAATATTAGTATGTTCCTGTAGTGAATGCCATGGTTCATCTCTCATCCTTTGCCCAAATGCCATTCATAACCAGCTCATTGATGAAACCGGCTCCAACAATCATATTCAGTAGCAGAGAACTGCCCGGGTCAAGGTCCTGCCCTTCCCAAGCAACAATTAGCAACCAATGATTGGGTTGAGGTAGATACCAAGGCCCATTCTTACATCTCAGTTTAGGACAACTGTGAAGGGCCACTCCCAACTCTCCCTCTAACTGATCTTGCTTCTTTCCCTCCCACATAGATGCTAATCCCTAGGGTTTGCCCCAATAAACTTCTTGCATCCTTGTGTCCATCTCTAAGTCAGCTTTCTTGGAAACTGACCAAGTAAAGTAACTCAGTAATGCTTAACTATAATCTATATGCTTCCCTTTAGTCAAAAGATTCTATTTATTATACCAATGTTATTAATTGAATGTCTATTTTAAAGAATTAAATATGACATGAAATACTTTATTATACTATTATTAGAAACAGAAATCTCACAAAAAATCATTGGGAGGGTTGGGGACATAGCTCAGTGGTAAAGAACTATATTAGTATATAGAAAGTTTTAGATTTGATCTCCAACATTCCCAATCTAAATGAGCTAAAGGATAATGAAATTATTTCTTTACTTAAAACATTTTAAAATAGTATTTATTTTGTTCTAGAGAGACCAAAGAGATAGGTAGATTGAGGCTGACAAGAGTTATTTCCTCCCTTCCTTATCCCAAAATTAAAGTGTTCTTCTATTTGACTGGCAACTCCTTTAGGGCTGTTATTAGACAATGTTCTCAGAAGCAAAGACACAAAGTATGCTAACACAGAATAGCATTCAGAGGCAACTGTGGACTATTTAAGTAAAGGTGCCAGCAGGAGGGGTACAGGAGGATGGGGGTGAGGAGTAGGGAAGATGGATCAGCAAAAAAAAAAAAAAAAAAGTACAAATATGCCAAAATGAAACCCATTACTTTATGTCTTATTTTTAAAAAACTAACAAAGTAAAAAAAATTGAACTACTCAATGTTATGAGATATAATCATCATTTTGATTGATTTAGAATCATCATTTATGGCTCAGTATTAACAGCCTTAGTTAAATTTTAGGTTTATGAAAGAACCAATAAGTTTAGACTTGTATACTCTTTTGAAAGAAAATCACCAATATCTTATAAAATATTAAATGATTAGTCAGCTCATCTTGCATGGTTTTTACAATACCTAATCCAAAAGACAGTGTTGGTTATTTCTGTTAAATCGCAAGTCAGGGCTGAACTAATTGTCTTAACTATGAACAAATATTGTTCAATTTTCTTTAGCCATTTACTGTGGAAATCAAACATACTGGGTTTGTGTTGGGGACATTTCATAGTTCGAAAGTACACAGTCCTTTCCAGTTTCTAAATGGTGATGGTTATTATAAACTCAGTGCTGGGCAATTATCACCTTTGTCTTTGAGGCTCTCGGGGCCAAATGCAAAGAGCAAAGTGTAGGTGATAGATCTAGAAGGTTTTCATTATAAAGAACAAAGTACAAAGTCAATGTGGTATCAATATGCCTGTAATGCTAGCAGTTTGGAGGTAGAGGCCAGAGAATCAAGAGTTCAAGGCCAGCCTCATCTACAAAACAAGTTGGAGGCCAGTCTGGGTTATATATGAGACCTTGTCTCAAAAAAACAGAAAAAAGGCCATCCCAGCCCTCAAGACTGCTAGGGTCAGGTAGCTCTGGGGTCATCCCAAACCTGTGAATTCTACCAGCCCAATGAGTTCCCTAACCCCAGCCCTCTGTGTTTGCCATCCCAGCTCTCAAGCCTGCTAGTCATCCCAGATCTGCAATTTTCCCCACCCTAGTGAGCTTCCTAACCCCAGCTTTTCTCACCCTGCCACCTCTGCTCTCAGTCCTACTCTGGTCGTGCAGCTGTGTGCTCACCTCAAACCTTTGAGTTCTCTATTCCCAGTAGTCCACTGCCTGTTCTGCTCCAGTTTTGCAGCACCAAGCATACCTGTGTGTCCTGCCACATCTGCAAGCTCTTTCACACCTGTCAGCTCCCCAATCCCAGCTTTCCCTGTCCACCCTTTCAGTGCCTGGATTTCACAGGTCCTGCAGCTTCCTGCATCCTCTAGACATATGAATATCCTGAAATCTGTGAGAACTCCGGTCCCAGTGTTCTCTTTCTGCCACCCCATACCCCTAGCTGGGGTCCTAAAGTCTTGGCAGTGGCCCAACTTGATCAAGTCTACAGAAATTACCTCCCCTCGCAGCCATCCGCACATTCCCAGGCACAGCTGGGGTTGTGCAGCCAGTATATCACCCAAGACAGACCCAGTCAAGAGTTATACTAACACATTTTCTTGGTTACCATCAACACAGATCTGTCTGCTAACATCCTCATGCAGCAGCTACTCAGCCCACCTTGCCTCTCCAGGACTACATGGAGTTTGTCCTGGAACTTCAGACTCAAAAGTTGTACCTATTCCTGGCTGAACTGAGACCACTTCTTACATCCCATTCATACATCAACACAAAGTGGCCCCAAGACTGAACAATAAGAACCCCTTAGCTGGGCTATAATCTGACAAGTTGGGGAAACAAAAAGATGCAAACGCCCACTCAACAAAGATGAGATCACCTATCCATAACAAGAAGCACCATCCCCCCCCAACACAAGTCCAGATGCTAGGTCTCATTAACCCCGCCCCGACAAAGATGAATAAAAAAGTTAACACATCTCCTCCAGAAATTAGCACCCCCACTGTAATGTTTCCTGCAAATGGTAACCTAGCTGATACACAAGACAATTATTTGAAAATAGCAATTATAAATATGTTCAAGGAACTTAAAGAGTATATGATAAGACTGAATGAAGACCATGAAAACATAAACAGTTGAATAAAATAACTAAAACAGTTCAAGATATGACTAGACCTCAATAGATGGACTTGCACTGGGGAATGTCTAGGGACACTGAGTTGATACACTGGGCCTTAACATGAATGACAGAGTATATGAGTTCCAGTAGGGGGCTATGGGAGGGTGCCAGTGGGGACTGGGGTATAAAGATGATTACCACTGTTTGAGATACTCTGTATAAAAACACAAAAATTCAATAAAAACAAATGAAAAAAAAAACCTAGGGAGACAAGAAAGGGTAATGGGGTAAATGTGATCAAATTGCACTATGTAGATGTATGAAAACATCATCATACATAATGAAACTCATTATTGTGTATAAATTAATATATACTAATAAAGAACATCTAAAAATATTTGAATTCAATAGAATCTCTGAAGAAAAGTCAAAGTCAAAGTAAAATAGAATTTGAAATGAAAAACTCAGGAACTCAAACAAAATCCTTAGAAGAAAGATTCAAAACTGGATTGGATCAAATGGAACAGAGAATACTAGATCTCAAAGACAAGGTTGAGGTAAATAGATCACCACTCAAAGAAAATGTCAAATCTAAAATAGCAGACCATCCCCTCACAGCCTGCCTCAACTGAATTGTGCCTGCTAATTGGTCAGCCATCTCATATATCAAGGTAACCATTGATATTTGCTATGTAGCAGATATTTGGAATGCAGATAAAGTTCAGAGACTCTGTGTTTGGAAGGCTTTACATGATAAACTAGTTCTCTTTCCGGAATGGTTGTGGACCTTCTGCCTCTAGACAAGGTTGGTTATTATATTGCTGGTCTAGCTGCTTTTTTCCCCTCTATCCTCAGAATGGGAGTTTTTTTTTTTTTAAATTTTCAAATTTTATTTTCAAGTTTTTTTTTATAGAAGCATTTCATTACAGCTTTAACATATTCAGTAACACATTCCAGAGCAAGGATACATCTCTTTCAAAGGTGGCTGTAAAT